GTACGTATACGTACTTTCATACGTGCTTTGTGCGCTATATACATTTTATTTTTAATAATTTTACATTGCTAAAATTCTCATATAAGGTAATGCTCATGCAGAGCAAAAATATAAATCATTGCATTTTCATCAAATATTGGTAAAAATACGCTAAATATGCACAATAAAATAGAAAAAYRCATAAATATGACAAATAGTAAAAAAAAACCTTTAAATATGCAAAAATATGTARAATCAAACTTCACATACTTAACCGCAGTACCTCGAAATGAATTTTTATGTCACCTAGAATTAAATACAACTTATCAAYATTGATATGCAAATGCATGAACTAACAAATCCTGCAGGTTATCATGTACAAAAAATGCCGATAGAAAATATACCTATTTGATAAAAATGTTAAGTATCTATACGGGTATTAAGTTTTCATTATACCTATAGTAGAATAACATAAACGATGAAGTCAAAAATTAGTAAAGCATAAAAGTTTTCCGGAATTTTGTTTTAGATTTGATGTATTTCTAAATTTATTTTTTAATTTGATTCAATTTTTTAATTTTTCAATGTCAYCGACAGGGGAAAATATGTATTTCCACATTTATACGGTACATTAAATGGGCCTCAACCAGATAAGAAGGTAGAATTGGTTGAAAGTTTTTAGTTATCATCACGTTCACGTCAATAACAAATAATATGATAATATGTATATATAGAACTACAGTACTTAACATATAATTTTCATACAATCGACGGATTAATGATTATATTATGGGAATAGAATTTTATCTTAATAATTTAATATGATTTTTTATTGACGAGATTTAAATTTTAATTAAGTAAATTGCAACGCAGAAAAGAATATATTGTGACGTGTGATAACTACAGGTGATTAATTTTTAGATACGGAATTTATAATGACATTGTTCGGAGAAAAAAATAAAAAGGAATTCGGAAGGCTCTAATTTAATTTAATTTTTGTATCGTTTTTTGGTGTAACATGTATATTATTTTRCTTAAATACGTAGGTAGTGGCRTTTAATATTTGACTGCCTTTAAAACTAATGTAAATATTTTATTTATTTTTAGTTCTTAATTTTATTTTACTTATATCTTTAGCAAAACTCCAAAACAATAGCGAAATTTACAAAAAAGTTAAAACGAATACTCGTATTGCMATTTTTTTTTTTAGTTAACAATGGTTAGTAAAAACCTCAAAGGTTTTATTTTTGTAAATATGCTTTGCAGTTTAGACTTTTTCGTAAAAATAAAGAATTCTTATAAAAGATAATTTATGAAAAGTTTTGAATAGACTTTGTATACTAGATGATCCATAGAAGTGTTAGTACTATACTCAATATTTCAAAAAATTTTTACTTCTTTTTTTTTAATAATCTAATGATATTTTAAAACAGCATCTCTTAATGTAATTTAAAATAGAATAAATATTTAAAAAAAATTCATATACCGAATCAGAATATAATTCGAAGTATATCTCTAAAAATCAAATTTTTTACAATCAGTTCATTAGTTATAGGTATGTATGTATTTAAAGTTTAGACTAGCGCAGTAATAGGCAACATTTTGTAAGGTAGCCTTGGTGTCTTATTGGTATCACTCTATTCAGATTATCTTAACTTAAAACGCTTATGACTAATAATGGTCCAYAATTTAGTATGTATAGATTGAAATACTCCAAATCCAATAAATTACATAGTGCCATTATAATAAGTAAAAGAAAAATCCAAAATAATGAGTGGATTCGCTTAAATAGAAGGTCCTGTATACTTATAGTAAGTCGTAGTATCATCATTTCTAAGCGCTTTGATCTAAATTATGATGTTATTATGTTGTTTATCAACCATGTTTGTTTCTATATAAAGAAAAAAAACTTTTGCGTATCTCGAATACCGATCATGCTGTCTTAGACATTTTATACCACCTCGTAACATTTCCACGTTAAATTTTTTCGTATAAGCATTCTAATCTCCGACTGTTCATCGCTGTTTGTTACTAATGCTGAATACCCATAAAATATTAGATAAATATCAAATATACTATGCATTTCAACTTTAAGTTGTACCAATTCTGTTGACGTTGTGATTAAAAAATTGTTTTAAAATGACGAGTTTTATACATTTATTAATGATATGAGAATTCAGAGAAAAAAATACGAGTATAATATAATATGTAAGAATCGTAACATATAGTTCTAACAAAGCTAATATTATGACCATCTATCTAAAATGTATGTGGTGCGAGTATGAGTATGTAAGAGTGATTATTTTGCTGGTAAAGTTTGATCCCGACTACGTCGTTAAAAATAGTTACATACGTTGTAATGTGATTATTAGTACCTATTGTCGAATTYGAGTGTATAACGACTGTTTAATCTAAATTACAGTTTTTACTAACATAACTCGCCATAACATCATGAAGGCATATACTGCTTAATATTTGCCACAACAAGGCATGCAATTTAACAAATTAAWACGATTTTATTTATCTGATTGTGTTTTAGTGATTTTATAGTGTCGTAAAATATATGAAATACGTAGGTAAATGTTTAAGCCTGATTTCTTGTGCATACGTTTAGAGTGTACATGTCTAAAGTTAATGTACCATCGGTATTCGGTAGACATTTTATAAAACATAGTTTATTTTTTAAAGCTCGACTTGAAAATAATATTATATAATATTGGTTTAACGTTATTTAACATAAAGCCCTCYCCACATTGAGTGGATGTGTATTTTTATTTTTTAGTTTTCGTCTTCAAACATATTCTTAAAAGGCACGAATGGTCAAAAGGCACTCTACGTGCCCACGTATCTCATTTGTCTGGACCTTGCTACATTTTCAAGTTAGATACTTTATWCAATTCTAATGTTTATCTGTATTTATAAATTATGCTGTTCGAATACAATACAGTTAAAATTGAATGGCAAGATACTTTAGTTTAATTATAATTATATAAGTTACAAACAAATTCATTTTTATCCAAAAGATAAAATTGATGCGAGCTTTTGGAAAAAATATTCGCTATTACGGTGTCTTATTAATTTTTAATTTTCACAGAAACAAAATAAATATTACCTTTCGGCTATCCATGCTCTATAGGCCACTAGATTTTAAAATTAAAAAATTGTTCGCCCTACAAACTTTGAGTTATCCATCCCTGCTATAAGATATCAAAATAAATTTATTTTATAAATAACCTTTAACAACTGTTATCATGTAAAAATATAATAAACAATAACTTCATGATTTGTATCAGTACAATAGGTACAATTATATTGAGTGTAGCAGAATACATTGATTTAAAACGTGATTATATTTTTGAATGCGAAATTTCATTTAATTTTTCGATACAGTACAAAAATTTGTTTACTTACGAGACTTCCAAAAACTGGCGACGTAATGAATGCCACCAGTTCGAAACTGCCGAAAACGAAGCCGTATTCTGTAGCTGTACATCCTTTCTTCTCGGCCTAAAACATACGACATAATATARTATTAATATAAATTATAATAAATAATATACTATTTAACCTATGGGTAGGTGTTGATCAATTGTGAATTTGTGAATAAAAATAATGTGGACAATATCGTTTTAAGAGGACGCCACACCCACATGTAGTATGTCATCGTCTTACAAAATATGTACAACATTGCAAACACCTGTTTTGCAAGGGACCACTTTACTCCCTCTGTATTTATAGTAGAATAACCAAAATTCCACAACGTATAGGGAAGAACTTTATCTGTACTACATCGTCTTTGATTTTTGATGATATACACATAATTTAAGTTATCAATTTGAGAACATGAATTTTGTTTTTGTATTTTTAGTTTGATTATTAAAAAATCTTGGTTAGTGCTATAACAAAAAAAAAAGACACTATAGCGCAAATAAAGTTCTTCCCCCTAGGTATTGTGGAATTTTGGTAATTTTACGATGAATACAAAGGGAGTAAAATTTCCGCCCACAAACCAGGTTTTTGTTGAACATTTGCAAGACTCACACACATGRGTTTAGCCTATTTAATATTTATTATAATTTATAATTTATTATATTGTAAGTCATATAGCATAATTTTAATATTAAAATGTAAGTATTTATTTCTTATTGATGATGMATAAGTTAAAAGTACGTTTATGGCTTTACATAATACAGAACAGTTCATATTTTGATGCAAGGTACTTTTACGCAAAATAGACAACAATATAAGTAACTAGTTATTGACGTCGAATATGGAAACGACCTTCGTCAACTCTTAAAGTGATTATGGTCTATACTCTGTTTTATAACAATAATCTCAAAAACAATTAAACAAATAAATAAGTAATCCACATAGTTACATTATATCTATTCTATAACAGAGGAATTTGTACAAACACTCGCCAAATCCAAATAGATAGGTAAGTGATATTAATTTTCACGCGCGATTTTACAACTACACACATCACGATAAATATAAATAAACGTTTTAAAATCATTACCCCTAAAATATAAATGACTAGAAAATAAATATAATATTGCAGTGAATTAATACGCAATATTGTTATTATTATTATTATTTATGTCAGGTATCATTGTTTAGACTTATCTGCATTTTAATGCAAATATGTATTGATGTTATTTAATATAATAATACGACTGTCATTATTACACTCGTGTATTTATAATTTATATCACAAGCACGAGTATAGACTATATAGGTAATATCTAACCGAGTATTGCTATTGAGATTATCTATCGATGTAGAAAGATAAGGCGAGATTGTGAAAATACACGTGTCTACATTTTATATTTCAAAAACATGTGAAATCATACAACATTTCTAGATAGTATACATGTTATTAAAGGTATATGGTGTATTATTATAATATATTAGGGATGCAAATTATCGATCATTTACAATGATAATTAAACGTGACAACAAATATACAAATAAAATATTTAATGTGCAAAACCGTAATGCGTAGGTACATATTATTATTATAGCGATATGTAGGTACGTATTTAACAATAATTATTAAAATTTGCATCAACGAATGTGTTAAAATATTATTAATGCTTAAAGTTACAATATTTGGTAATTCTATTTAAAAAATTAGTTAAATTACCACCCTAAGTATTAAAAAAAAGATATCATGTTAAATTACGACTTTAAATCAACTTGTTCTGTATAAAATACTATGTTCCAATGTGTACCTACCATGCAAAATGTTATCATAGTTTTATCAAACGTTGGGATTTCGATTTTATCGATTTTATCTTAACTATGAAAAAACCAAAGACAGACGACTTTAATTGTTTGATAATGATTAAATAATAATAGGTATCTATAAAATAATATTTTTTCCACACTTCAACATTTACGAAATTAAAAGGACGTTATGTCCGCATGTGTTGTCTTCGTCTTACAAATGCGTAACATGGCGATTTTTACACTCAGCAGAACACGTGTAGCTTTGTTATTTTAAAATTTAGAGTGAATTGACCTCTTATAAAAATTAAAGGTAACATTATTATCGAGGGCTTCTCGTGGGATTTTTAATACATTTTTATTTTAAAGCGAGTTATGAGTATTTTAAGATACACWCACAATTTACAATTTTATAATACTCATAACTCCCTTTAAAATTAAAATATAATAAAAAGCCCATGAGAAGCCCATGAGAAGCCCTCGATAATAATATTACCTTTAATTTTTATAAGAAATCAATTCACTATAATTTTTAAACTAACAGAGCTACACGTGATCTGCTGAGCGTAAAATTTGTTATGTTACGTACTTGTAAGATGGAGACTAGTGACAACACATGGTGGCGAACGTCATCTTAATAATTATTATTTATTATTATCCAAAATGCTATTCATATTTTGTTCAAACGATTCGTATAWACATTCTCGAAAGTTTGTAATWTGAAAAAGTGCAATCAAATAACTGAAATAAATTGTGTGCTCTTCGAAAATGTTATTAACAAAAAGTGTGTTTATCTTGATAAAATAAGTATAAAATAATATTTTTTTYTAAATTAATGTTTTCAGTAAATAATTTAATTTTTATTGAATTATAATTTTCAGACTTTTATAAAAATATGATATAGGTACCTCAAGACTGTACTTAGTTTTAATTTATATTTAGAACATTAAACTAATTATAATTAATAATAATTAAAATGCAGTTAAAAAGTTTCTATTGGAATAAAAGTCAATTTTCTTTAGTTCATACTTTAAAATGTACTAGATAGTAGATAGTAGATACATTGAATTTTAATTTAATCTACAAACATTTCGACTAACAACTAGTAGGTATACTATATAGGCTATACTATATGAAGATAAAACTATTAATAATTTGAATCGCTCTAACCTTGACAATATTTTATCAATTTTGACATATATCATCACAATAGATGTAAACGTATTTAATGTGAGAAGGCACGTGGCAATG